GGCTTACTGGCTCAAAACAAAAGAGCACAACTTTAAAATGAATATTTCAGTTCAATACAAGTTAAGCAGTCGACAGCACTTATCGCATATTGTTGATAACCAAAATTGATTTTCAAATTGTCTCTCTTAAAAACAAAACAAAAAAAAATGGTTACAGTAATGCATTTACAGTGGAAGTGAATGGGGCCAGTCTGTAAATGTCAAAATACTCACTGTTTCAATAAAAATAGCCACAAGACATTAACAGTATACATGATTTTAGCCTGATAGAGTAACTAACATGAGTGAATTTATATTCAAAAAGGCCATAAAAGTGACGATAACAACTTTACAGCTCAAATAATACACAACTTTAAATAGAAGAATGAATGAGAGTGATTTTATTCAATTATAACCTTCACATTTCTGCTTTCAAATCCTCCAAATCCGACCCCATTTACTTCCATTGTAAGTGCTTCATCGTAACCTTGTTTTTTGCTTTTTTATAAAGAGAACAATTGATGAACTGAACAAGGAATAAGTCTCTTAAACTGATTCTTCAAAGGGTCCCTCCTTAAAAGTCTATGAGATTTGGATGTTTTTTATAGTCCACCAAGTGAAAATCGTTACGTTTTCAGAAGTAATAGCATACCTCTTGTCAATAAGCCGCACAGTTTCAGGTATAGTGCCCAAAGCACAAACAACGCAAGTTATTCTAATGTCTTGTATGTATGAGGTGTATATCAGCTCTCTTTCTCTCTCTCCTCCGCTCAAGTGCCACAGGCTTATAATGTTTCTGTCAGCAGCAATCCAGGAAACCAAACGCGAAACCAAACCCCACAACAACACCTGGTTTCCCAGCACCCCCCACTGCATTCAGACGCTCCGTCCTGACTGCAAACACAGGGCTTCGAGAGGAGAGAAGAACGCTTCATTTCTCCAGAGACTGTTTTTTCTCTTTCTGAGGGTGAGGATGAGCACTGATATCCTCCACTGAGCGCCGTATCAGCCGAGCGCCACTTTGTTCTGCCTAATTATGGCGTTAGCAGGAAATAACAGTACAAATTGCTGCTAATAATTAAATGACAAGTCTGATCAGAATCTGCTGATGTGTTAGTAATGCTGCTAGAATGTGACAATTGTTACGATGAACTGATCTATGGCCACACATTCAAAATAGAATCTTTAAGGTTTAGATTAGAAAGAAGATACTAACAGATATATGTGACCCTGGAGCACAAAACCAGTCATGAGGGTCAATTTTTTTAAATTGAGATTTATACATCATCTGAAAGCTGAATAAATTAGTTTTCCGTTGATGTGTGGTTTGTTAGGATAGGACAATATTTGGTCGAGATACAACTATTTGAAAATCTGGAATCTGAGGGTGCAAAAAAATCTAAATACTGAGAAAATCGCATTTAAAGCTGTCCAAATGAAGTTCTTAGCAATGCATATTACTAATCAAAAATGGGTATATTTGGTATGATATGGTATAAAACAAAAGTTTTGATATATTTACAGTAGGAAATGTACAAAATATCTTCATGGAACATGGTCTTTACTTAATATCCTAATGATTTTTGGCATAAAAGAAAAATCTATAATTTTGACCCATACAATGTATTTTTGGCTATTGGTACAAATATACCCAAACGACTTAAGACTGCTTTTGTGCTCCAGGGTCACATATTGTATATCATAATGAAATAATACATATACAGATAAAATTATAAAAGAAATAATTTAAATAAAAAATTAAACAAATTAAAATTATATATATATATA